CCCGACTGTCTTAGGCGAATCCTCTCACCCTCACGATGCGATCACTTCTTCGAACATTACTGCGTAAACAAACGTACCGTCGTGGATCGATTCGTTAAACGCGAATAAGAAGCCTTGGGGTCTATTGCGGGTCTTCGATCGTTTACTTCACTGTTTATCGCTCTAGTTCTCAGACTCATCTATACCTACTGCGTTTCTTCGATCGTTAATCATAATATTTATCGGTCTAGTTCTCTAGCCTCCTGAGTCTGTTAAAGTTCGTGTGCATTTGGTAAACCTGAAGTAGTGTCACGTTATTGAGAAGAACAGAAAAGAAAAGATTGTTCAATCAACCTGTGAACTAAATGCATCCATTTTCCTCACTGAGCAACAACGAGCCTTGATTGGTTACTTTCTCATTGCGATTTGGCGGAAAGCGCAGGGGTTTGAGTCTTGATTGAGAGAGAGACACAAAGATGACCCCAAAGCCCAATAAGGGCTTTGACCACCTGTTCCTCAATCCGACTTATTTGGAAATATGGAAGAGTGACTGCCTCATTGATTCTTTCCTGACAAAAGTAAGAGGATCACCAGAAAACAATGTTGGGCCTTGTGAAGATCATCTCAGCTTCCCTTCTTTTGTGTATGTATACATAGGTTCAATAGAATTTGTGAGGGCAAAAAGATGTGTGTTGAGGTTGCAGCAGAAGCTGTGATTAAAATGAAATGACCTCTCAACTAAGAAATAAAAACTGAGAAAGATGCTTCTGTTTCTAGGCATGCAAGTGCCAGCCTATTTCTTTTTTGATCTGATGGCCCTAAAGCAGACAACACTTTATATGTAATTTGATCTCTGAGCCCTATTCTTTCATTCTTCCTTTTCTCCAACACTGCACACCGTCCCTGGTGCCCCCAAGAGACAGTCAGACTTGGAAAACAAAATTCAAGGATAGTGATCATTGAGTCAAGGTTTGAGGAAGAAATTTTTCCTCGGTCACTATATAAAGTATTCTGCTCCTTGATTGTTGATACCAATTCTTCATTGCTATGTATCCCAATTGATCATAAGATTCCATGATTTAGCTTGCTTTTTCTACTTTTGAATGCTTCTGTGAGATTTTCAGCTTAATATTTGGGAATGCAAGAGAGGGGGCTCCCCTTGAGACAAGTTAGGGATGATTTGGTAGCTCAAAGATGGCAAGGTTTGGAAAATTTGAAAACTTGACAATGTAGTTTTAAGTTGACTTCTAAAAGCTAACTCAACTAGGTCCCTGCCTCCCTTTGTCAGAGTGGTAAACCACTTGTTGCATTGCACCAACCCAAGGGGGGGACTTATGTCTAAAGTTGACCCTGCGGCCTGAGACCATTAGGATTTTTGGCTGGGAATTTTATGTACTCCATCTGACACACATTTGGCCAATTGTTTTTTCTTCTAGTTTTCAGATTGGGGATCATTCAAGCTGTCCCCATCTATGTACTAACTTTGCTAATGGTAAACACATCTCCTTGAGTAATAGTGATGATTGTAACATTGCCAATTTCAGATAAGCAGGATCATTCTAGTCACAAAAAAGGCAAGTTGAATGCCACCCAAGGGCCTACAGTACAATTCTCCATGATCTTGTGCATCCTTTGCTTCCCCAAAACATGATAATCAGCTGGAAAATAGTGCTGCTACACACAATTGAAAAAGATGGTTTTCCTGATTCTCTCAGGCTGCAAGGTTGACTTTGTGCCCCCTCCAATTGGAGGGACCTAATTAAGTTAGTACCGAAAGATGCACACAATATGGCTGAGCTAGACAAACAGATCAGTATATACTAATAAATAATCAACATATGAAGAAAAAAACCACAAGGTGATGCAAAATATAAGAAGAGATTAAGTGAGTTTAGCTTCACTTGGTACAATGGAAATTTGGGATGAGAATGTGAGTGGAGAAGTCAGGCTAGAATTCTGACAGTTTCAAAGGACCTGATGATGCACATTTCAAGTGCCTTGCAGATGGGATTGGGTGAAGTATTTTTTTAACTGGTCATGTGAGCATTGTTGCTGCTTGAAGATTCAGAGTATGTAACACTGCTTGTGATTGTCACATCTCCCATCACTCCATGCTTCCCCTGAATCAAGCTGATCACCTCCAGGAGGTCTGGGGAGTTCATGAAAGTCAGTCTGAATATAAGGCAGAAACACCTCTGTGCATGTTTTTTCTGTAAATCATAATCTTCAGGAGACTTGCGAGAAGTTGGCTCCACCAAGGGCGCGATGTGGATGTTAAAATATTCACGCAGGTTGAAATGCAGTTGCAGGGGAGATGAGCTGAGATGAGACAGTGTATGTAGAAGAACTTTGGGGAACTTGTTGGCTCTTCCTACAGTAGATTAAGGTGGTGTGTGAAACAAGCAAGAGAGATTTGGCTGTTTCGTCGGATTGATTCGGGGGGTGCTCGTGGGTTTCCCCCCGTGGCTGTTCACCCTGGAATCCCAGAACAGTCAAGCCAAGCAGCAGTGCGACGAGATCAGCCCAGGACAACCCAATCCACCTCTTTCGTTCATTACCATCTCCTTAACTCACTTCACTCACTCACCCTCACTTCTCCAATCGACTGTCGCCGAAGTACCGAAGCCGACCTAACTCCCCTTGTTTTTGCGACGAACGACGACCAGTTTCAAAAATAAAATAAAATACCGGATGCCAAGATGAAGACCAACATCAGCCTCATCCTCACCTTCGCACTCCTCTCCCTCTTCTCCAGCTCAACCCACGCCAAACATAATAATATCAAGAGTCGCGGTACACCAGCCAATAATAATACTAATAATCAACAGAAGAACGGAATCTCTAAGCCTTGTCAAACTTACTACAGTGCTAATACCCCTCATGCTGGTTTGTTCTGAGCACAAGCTTGTCTCTCTTCTCCTTGACTAGATGAAAACACTGATGATGGGAATCTATAAACAGTATGTAACGGCGATAGGTCTGTAATGTGTCTTGCCGGTTGCACGGGTGGTGTTGGTAAGTGGACCCATAGCCATCCTACGAGAAGGAGCGAAATACACACACTTTCAAGCTTCGGCTGATCGATTTTTTTTTTGTTTTTCTACACAGTCGTCCAGAACTGTCAATCAAATTCTTCCTCACCACTTACTACTGAAACCTGCACTGTCGCATTCAGTCAAACCTCGGAAGCAGCATATCGTGAGTTCTCTGGTGGAGATCGACAGCTTCCTTCAACACAGCTAGCAAGATCGACCGTTGACGATTTGATTCTTCCTCATCTTCGGCACTCATCTAATCGATCGCAGTCTGTAATACCCCTCAAGGTGCTTACACCTGTCAAGGCCCTCAATCCGGCGGCGTAGGTCAGTCAAGCGACAAAAAAAAAGTCATCGCCTCCTTACTCAAGTGGCTAACCAACTCTTGCTCTTCGTCCGCAGTTTGTCATAATTGTGTCTCAACTGCCAACGGCGTCCTTCCCTCCAATAACTCCTCCTCCACTTCCAACACCCCTGGACACTCATCCTCCAACTCGACCAACGAACATGACCAACAGGGGTAGGCCTCCCCCCCTCTACTCCTTTATCTTTCATAGGTTGTTACACTCATTCCAGAGAACTGACATACCCCTTGACCTCCATCATACTTTTGACCAGATCTTCCGATTCTTCGGCAATCATACTCACATCCGCTGGGGCGTTGTCTGGCCTATTCAGCTTATTGATCACCACTAGTCTTGCGACTTTGCTCTAGTAGAACCCGTAACAATATCAATAGAGACAATACCCTCCTCCCCCTATATTCCTCTCTCTTAGCTCAACCTCTCTCATTTTGTTCATTCTATCTTCTATGTGGTCCATCGGAACGGACTTGCCTCTTTTCCCCCTCCTTGACCTCACTGGTCTTTCGCTCCCTCTCCCACTCTCTCTTTGACCCTCTTTGCTCCTCTTCACTCCTCTTCTTTTTCGGTCGGTTGTTTCATCAATACTGAATAATAATGATGTGTTTTTTTCTTTTCTTTTTTTATTCTAGCTGGTTTTTCTTTTCTTTTTTTTTTTTTTGAAAATCAGACTATTTATGATGGATTTTTCTTTGTTCCCTTCCACTTGCCCTTTCTGATCGTCTTCTCCCTTCCTTTTCCCCTCGCTTTCATGGGCTTTCTTTTCGATTGTTATTCTACATTTTTTATATTATTATTATTTGAATCAACCGTTCCGCGTTCATTGTGATTTCCCCAAGTTTGGCAAGATGAGGAGGTAGAGGGGGAAGACAAAAAGGATCGCATCGCCTTCAATCTTTAAGGGTCAACAGAGGAGCATGAGAGCTAGGAACAAAAATTCTGGTTCCTTATCTTCCAGGGCTGGGGCTACTTGCTGTTGGCTGTTAGAATCGCTTTTTGGGTGGGAGGATAGCGTTGGTTAAAGTCTAGCTGCGAACAAATCATGAAAGCGAGTTTATATACCCGAACCGTGGGAACGTGTTCATCCCTTCTCTCTGGGCACTGTAGCTCAGTTGGTAGAGCACATGCTTAACATCTGACAGATGATGGTTCGCATGTTGTCGTCGGTTCGAGCCCGGCCAGAGTCAGCGAAGAGTTCTCTTTTGATCAACGTTACTTCCTTCTTTGGGACATGTTTTTCCCTAACTTAACTAAGTCCCCTCCGGCAGTGGATCCGATGGCTTGCCGGAGGGACTTACGGGCTATGTCGCCCACGCGGCCCATGAGCATTAGGGATTTGGCAGGGGCACATTTTAAAAACACTCTGGACCAACCATTCCTCAAGGTTTTTCGCAACGGGTCGGATTTTTGTGATGGCCTCGCCCATGCGCATCTATCCGTCTAACCCACACCCCTTCATCCGCGATGGTTGAGCATCAAATCGGTGAAGTTGGATTCAACACATCATGATTATGTCCTATGGGTTCAGCTCGCACTCCGGCATCTTCCAATCCGCGGGGCTGTAACCATGAATACACAAGCCATGGCGTTACACGTTCAGTAACCCATGAGCTCACATACTTGGTTATGACAACATGATATCATAGTTATATCACCACAGATAAGTCGGTCGCGTCCATGTTCCCGAGATCCTCCGGGAGACGATTTGCTTTTGCTTTCACAGGGATCTCGTCCAGCATGGCCATCTTTGCTTGTTGGGAGGGTGACTTGACGCTTGAGGATAGATTCCTATTCGTTGCGTTATGTTGACAAATACCTCATATAACCAATCTGTACTTATGGTCTAAGTACCAGAAATCATAGGTGTATTTTATGCACCTCATGTTGTGTCTCAGACGCCGCGGCTCATACAGAATGCTCATGAAAATGCCTACTCCTGATGGCATTCATGAAAGACCAGCTGCCTAAGCAGCCAGCGGCCCACCAATGTGATGGTCAGCACCGTGGGATTCTCCAAGATCTGCCCCTTCTTTTGGTGCGCGACTTGCTGGGGCTCATGTACGACCCGGTGCCTGTAGATGGCTTTGAAAAAATAGTCGCTATTTACTAATCCTCATGGGCAAGCAAGCGCACTTAGCGCATAAGTCCCTCCTTCGGAGGGTCCCTGCGGGACGGCGTCCCCCCTCCGAATAAAGAGGGACTTAGTTAAGTTTGGTTTTTCCCATCATCAGCATTTGGTTCAGAATACAAAACCTAATATTCAAGCTCTCTCCCTGCCAAAGATGTCTGCTCAATTTCTTACAATCATTTTTGATCATCATCAATTATGTACTTGTTTGCAATTGATTTGCAATTGATCATGGGATTCAAAATTGACATTCATTCATAGATTCATACAACCCCCCACACACACACCATCACACCTTCAACTGTATTGTAACATTGGATTAGGTCTTTTTATCATTGTATGGACTTGATTTATTCAGTGAAAATTGATTACTTTCTTTTTTCTCTTTTCTTTGTAGAAAGACACTTTGCAATTAAAATCAGAAGCTTTCTTCACCTTAAGACCAAGCCAAAAGCCACAAACTGTGGCTGGAGCTTGGCCATTTTTGAGAGATAACAATTTTATTGCATGAGTGGCAAGAAATGTAAGAATTGAATGATGAATTGAAGGTTGGATACCTTGTTTGAATATGTTGTGTGAGATTTGTCCAATTGATCATGATGATATTGGTATTTAGTACCTTTTCTTACTGACAAAGAAGATGAAGGGTAACGCTCCGACTGGTAGTGCTGTTGTCATACCTAAGTATTTATAAATGAAAAACACTCTCAAGAATTAAGAAACTGGATTTGGCAAAATGTAACAATCCTTTACATCCACTGTTTGTCAAGATGCTTGAGAAAACCAATACTTACTTGGTAGAAGCACTTCCTTGTGAAAGTTAAACCTTGGTGATTTGAACGATTCTAAATCCATCTTTTTGACTTGCTATCTTTGAGAAGCATTTTCCAAAAGAAGCATTGGGAGCATTAAAGAAAAGGCTTGTGGAATTGTTTGAATAAAGAAAGAACCAAATGGCAGAAAAGATCCAACAAGACAAGGAGTGTGAAATGCAGACAAATGACACTGATATCTACTCATTTTTTAGTGCTCCAAGCAACAATTCAGGCCAGGATAAAATAGAAATTTACTTGGGAGTAGTGGATTTTATCATCCACAGCAATAAAAAGGATTACACATTTTCTGCATTGAAATGGTGGAAGGTATGTTTCTTATTTTCTTCTTAATTGAATGTTTGTTTTTTGCTGATAGATTGAATTTTCAGGAACCCGGGTTCAAGTATTTAATACTCTCAACTTTAGAAAAAGACTACTTGGGCTGGGTAGCATCTTCTTCATCTGTTGAAAAAAATTTCTCTGCAGCAGCAGCAGATGTCTGTACTAGTAACCATGGAAAGCTGTGGCCAAGAAACAAAGTAGCCACATGTGTTTGTTGCATGATGATCTTTCATTGGGAGAAGATTTTGAGGGGGCATCCAGGCATTGCAATAAATTCAAATTATTTTGTGAAGAGAAACAATCTCAATGCTTGAAAGGCACACAGAAATAGAGATTGATTTTCACCATTTCATTCTTTTTTGCTTTCATATCAACCATTATCCTAGTTACAGTCAAGTTATCCTAGTTAAAATCAAGTCATCAAAAATGATAAAATGGTAATGTAATTTGAAATCAAGCAAGTTACACAGGAACATAACTAAAAGTGCAAAAAGTGTTTTTTGGGAAATGATATTGTAAAGGAAATCAAGTTATCAGTAACTGAGAGGTAATATAACTGTAAAAATTACATTACACACAGATTTATCCATTTGGGCTGCCCACCATTGCCACAATTGGTGATATTTTGGATCCCTCATACAATCAACACTGGGTCTATACTTTACAGTTATTGGTATAGTATTGTTATAGTATATATATTTCCAAATTTACTATAAAGGGTGTGGTTATAGTCTGATTTTCAGGGCCCTTTACTATAACTGAGGAGAACAGGAAATTCTTTTGGGTGATTTACTCTACTATAAACTACCCTGGATGCTGATAAAAACATCTACAGCTACTTATGAGAGTCTCTTGACCACAGAAGGGCTCTCTGGAGTTCACTTCATGGTTGATAAAGCTAAGGCCCTTACAATATATTGCAATTTTGGAGCCACAAAAGTGGCCTATACTTTACCAAGCTTGGTGGGAAACACACTGGTTATAGTATTGGTATATTAAACAGAAATTTGAAGAAACTTTACTATACTGAAAAGGGCCAGTTATAGTAAAGTATAGTATAGACCCATTGCTGATACAATGCAATGCAATTGAAGGACTGAGGCTTGGGATCAAGCACACTGCTAGACATATTGACATTATTTTATTGGTCCACTGAATGGGGGATGATCTTGAATCCAACACCTAGTATCAGAAGACCATTGATAAATAATGAATGCATGTGAGTGGTCTTTGACAGCTGCAGAATATCCTGTCTGGGGTTCAGCTAGATGGTAATGGTTGCTTCAATTATTCAAAATTAAAAATCAAATATATTCATGAAATAAAATAAATAGGGGCTTGGTTGAACGACTCCCAAAAAGTGGAGAGCCGACTCCCACGCGCTGGATTCCCCAAAAAATGGGAGTCAAACCCCCAAAACCTTTGACTGGTTTGGGGGTCAACTCCCTAAAAAAATAATAAGAAATAATAAAAATCACTGGTCGGTTTGGGAGTTGGCCTCCCAAACCAACCAGGGTTTGGGGGTCAATGACCCAAAAGACCCATGCCAGCGGCCGGGAGGATTCCTCCTGGCCGCTGAGGTACACTCTCAACGGCCGGGAGTTGACCCCTTGACCGTGAGAGTGTACACCTTGATGGCCAAGAGGAATCCTCTTGGCCATCATACACTCTCAACGGCCAATGGAAACCGCCTCGGCTGTTGAGTTGTACACACCTCAGCGGCTGAGAGGATTCCTCTCAGCCGTTGAGGGTATACACTCTCAACAGCCAAGACAATTCCTCTTGGCCGTTGAGGGTACACACTCTCAATAGCCGATGGAAACCGTCTTGGCTGTTGAGGTGTACACACCTCAACAGCTGAGGTTACACTTGACGGCCATCAAGGTGTACACTCACAGAAACTTGCCAGCTGAGTGCACACCTCAATGGCCGAGAGCTGCCTCCTAGCCGTGGAGAGTGTACACCTCAACGGCCAAGGTGGTTTCCCTCAGCCAGTGAGAGTGTATACCCTAAACAGCCAAGAGGATTCCTCAGACGGTTTCCATTGGCCGTTGAGAGTGTATACCCTCAATGGCCAAGAGGATTTCTCTTGGCCATTGAGGTGTACACTCTCGCAGCCAAGGGGTCAACCCCCGGCCTCTGCCATGGGTATTTTGGGTCATTGACCCCCAAAAACTGGTCAGTTTGGGAGGCCAACTCCCAAACCAACCGGGGATTTATTATTATTATTATTTTTTTAGGGAGTCGACTCCCGAACCATTCAAGGGTTTGGGGGGGTTTGACTCCCATTTTTTGGGGAATACAAGGCTTGGGAGTCGGCTCTCCACTTTTTGGGAGTCGTTTAACCAAGCCCAAATAAATAACATGTTTGAGATTTATTTGGCCCCCTTCACATCTTCAAGTTTTCCCTGAAATGTGATAGTGGTTTAGAATTGTTGTCAGGCTGTCTGGGAGTCCAATTATCATCAAGGATAACATACTGGTTGATCAAGGAAACTCATTCGTGAAGGATTCAACCTCACCAGCTCACAATCAATCAACATT